CCAGTTCCATTCCCTGCCCTGTCCTCAAGAAGCTTCCTGGAGAGAGAGACCAGCCTGCTGTGGTCAGCACTAAGGGCCTTTCTCATCTGTTACTCATATACCAGGAGGTACAGCTTCTCTCCTCTTCTAAGAGTCCAGAAGGTTCACCTACCGAGACCAACGACATTTAAATAAGGGCTTAGGGGTAAGAGCTACCTAGGAAGACATGTCATGGAGACCTTCACCATGCAATGCCTTGAATTCAGCTCTGGATGCTCCCAAGGAAAGGAGACTGGCAGTGGGTTTGGACAAAGCACAAATGGGGATGGTGGAGCCTCTGTGCGGAGCTACTTGAATAATCACTGAGTTTTTCATTGACTTGTTTTGTTAACATAAACCACTAAGGGCTGAAGTGTTGGTAACCTTCATTTCGGTGTCCAGCTCCTCAAAGCAGCTGAACCACCCTGAGATGCTTTTGGCTACTGCCTGCCAGGACACAACCTGGGTGGACTGATCACAGTCAGAGCTAGGAAAGTCAATACCAAATGAATGAATAATTGGACACCAAAAATCAAGTGTTACTTTCATGTTTCCTCACCCATACATAACCATCTCATTTCTTCTTGACACATCTCTGGCATTTAAATGGACCAATCTGCCAGGTGAGCTGAACATATCCAGTCACAGGTCATCATTTCCCTTCTCAGAGGTTCTGAGTCAGTGGAAAGGAAATGGACCAGGTGCCTAGTTTCTTTCTACAGCTGCTGCTAGGTGGCTTTTTTTTTTGCTTCTGTTAATAATCACTGGCCCAAAAAATCTGGATGGGAGTACTCAACCCTCCTTTTTCTCATATACTCCATCCCCAGGGCCAGGCAGAGGGTGTAATATGGATAATTCATTACTGGAGTTTTAACTGTCTTACTGTGTACCAACTCACACTGGCTCTAGCACCACATTCCATTCAGGGATTATTTTGGAAATCCCATGACACTTTCTGTTTCTCTTCCTTTGGCTAATTCTCCTTGAGTGAGGCCAGTTCCTTGCCAGGCTCAGGGCAGGTGTCATTCTGGAGTTCAGCCTCCTTTCCATGCTAGCATAGCATCTCTGTCTCTGTTCTGTCTCCTTCAAATCCAAGACAATTTTAATTAGTACAAATATGTACAGTCTATACATTTAAAAAGTAATTTGTACTAACAGTTTTGATTCTTCTTCCTCTTTGCTGTCCTTTCAAGATATTTGCTGGAAAGAGCTTTAATGCACTTAGTTTCCCTTTAGCTTTTCTATAATTCTGATGTAAAGGACTTTCTCTGTACAGTATATTATCCAATGCATGTTCGTTCTCTATACTGATAAATTGAACACCACACAGTTGTGAACTCGTGCAGCGGGAACACCCCATGCCCACCAGAGGCCTCCAACTCCCTCGCCCGCCCTTCCCCGGCCCTGTGTATAAGGAAAGACGATGTTTTCCTTTGCTGTACTTGCTTGAGCAGTTTTATTGTCTGTACACGTGAGCTGTGTGAGATAGATGTGAAAAGTTCAAACGAATGCATTTCCCTGCCCCATGTATACAGGTTGTCATCTGTACAATGAATTGTATGTATGAAAGCAAATGTACTTATTTATAAATGGTTAACACTTGGAAAAAACGTGGCTGGCCTGATGCTTTCCCCTGGCAATCAGGGCACTTCTTCTGATACCCTGGCCAGAGCTACTTCTCAACTGTAAGTAATGGGACCAGAGATCACAGCAGATTACTCTTTACTGCCTACAGGATTAAGAAAGCCTCTTACCAAAGCACAAGAAAGGGAGAGACTTGTTCCTTGGCCTATGAAAGCCAAGGCTAGATGTAGAAGGGCTTTGTTGCCCCAGTGCATAGGAACACACCTTTACCAACATAGAGAGGCTGGCTGCCTGAGGTATGAAAGGCTAGATGGACTCTTCCCCAAGACTAGGGTAAAAGAACTACAGCCCCAAGTAATCCTAATTATTTCTTTCCCCAAAAAGGCCTTGGGTAAGCCACTTTGAGTGGCTTTCTCTGGGTCTTGCTTTCTTCCTCTGCAAAATGAGGAGATCATGGGACTTAGGGCTACAAGAGGTCTCAGAGGTCTTCTAATTCAACCCCTTCATTATACAAAGGAGGAAACTATAACCCTCAGCAAGGTTAGTTGATGCCCAAAGTCATACTGCTTGCTTTTTGTCTACTAAAGGACAGGAGATGGGATAATTTCTCCACAACATCTCTAAGTAGCAGAGCCAGAATCTGAACCTAGCCTTTCTGACCATAAATACAGTGCTTTTGTCATTACACCAAAGCTCTCAGGTCCTTTCTAACTCTGTGATTCAAATATTATAAAGCTAAAATTACCCTGTCAACCTACCTGAATCCTTCTATAGGGTTGGGCTGCCATCACTATTGTTGGATTTGGAGACACAGCTCCTGATGACTCACTAGGCCATCAAGTCAGGGGCTGAATTGAGCAAATGTATGTGCACCCTGCCAAGTGAACCTCAGCTTGAAAAAAAAAATGCAGCTCTAGCTTCCTTTCTGGCACCACAGGGTGTGACTGTGGGGAGTTACAGTTTTGCATGCAGTTGTTAAAGGAATTGCTGAAATTGCTTGAAACTAACACCAATCAGTCCCAGGAGAAAGTCCCCAGCTTTGCTGGTTTATCTGCTTAGCTGCTTACTCTTTGTCTACTAAAGGACTGGGAAGGGAATAACTTCTGATTGTGCTAAAGAAACACTGGTGCTGGTGTTACCACACCCATTTCCCCTGAACAACCAAAACCTGGATTAACCGGAAGATACTAAAGTACACAGATCCAGGGCATGCAAATCCACCCAAGACAGTTCAACAAGAAACATCCGTAAAGGAATGGGTGTGAAGGAGTCTTGTAGTAGATTAGGGCTGCAAAATCTAAAGACTAGCAGAGGCTATTTCAATAAGAGAAAAATGGATAAGCTTCAAAGAATAGGACACAATGAGCAATTTAAAGTCTCATTTGTTTGGCCAAAGTCCAGTTGTCCAAAAGATTCCCAGAGGCTTTTAAGAAATGCAGTGTGTGGAGGGAGAAGAGTGGTGATTCTTAAAAGGAGCTGCCCGGGTTCCTGAAGAGGTAGTTGTCCTACAGGCCCTTAAGCTAACTACCTCCTTATTGAGTCAACATTTTAAAGGTCTCCAATTTGACCTGAGTGCAGTATCAGACAGTGTCCCCCAATACGTTCTCATAACAATGATAACTTGTAATTGAATAGTACCTTAAGGCTTATAATTTGTCTCACAATAGTTTCACAAAGGAGAAACAGACTCAGAAGGACTAAGTAATTTTACCCATAGTCATACAGCTAGGAAATGAAGACTTGAATCCAAGGCTTCTAACAGCCTGATCTTTCCTTTCTCACACTCACACACACACTTATGCCCTCACTTTTCCCATCTGTCAAGGTTGGACTATACAGAATGTCTAAGGTTCCTTTCAGCTCTAACATCCTGTGATTCTATGAGATCCAAATGAGGATTTAATCTACTTTAGAAGAACAATCAGCACCCCCTTGGCTAGTAGATCTAAACAATGTTTGGCGGTTCTACTGACAAGTGGGGAGGGGAAGGAGTGGGAGGAGACATATAGCACAGGGATGGCAGAATACCACCAGGAATGGGAACTATCATGGCGCAGCAGAGTGCTGGACCTGAGTTCAAATCCTAGCTCCAACACTTAATTATCTTTGTGCCCTCCGGGCAAATAATTTAACCTCTCAGCTCAGAACCCACATCCGTATCACCAGGGAATGACACCAACTATCTTTCTCAAGGTTGTGAGGAAAGGACTTTGTAAGCTTTAAAATGTTATATAAATGAGGGTTAATATTATACTAATTGCTTCATGGACCATCTGGTGCTGCCTCCTGGCTAAGAGGCATATGATCCTTTGAAATTCCAAATGGAGGTTTTTAAAAAATAAGAAGGGAGCCTGGGGAAGATGAATGAATCCAGAAAGCAAAGGAAGCAGATTTAAGGGACAATTGATTAAAAAAGGTTAAATTAGATGTAGTCTAAAAATATTTTCATACACCTAGAGAAAGCTGGCAATGGAAATGGGAGGCCTCAGAAAGGTACTGAAGGGGTAAGATTATAACACTTGGGGCTTGATACACTCAAAGGCAATGGATGTATAAGTGCTGGATGATGGGGACAAACACCTAAAGGCCTAGAGTTGTATAGGTGATGAGATAAAAAACATGAAAAAAAGTTCCTCCAAAGAGTCTGAAAGACAGGGAGTTGAGGGGTGATGAAGTTTAATGATCCCATTACCCCTTTAGATTTCATAGTTTCAGAATTGTAATGGGCTAAAGAAATTGTCTGGTCCACCCTATTATTGCCCTGAGCAGAAACCTAAGACCTGGAGAGTGGCCTCTCATTTAAAAGGAAGAAAAAATATCCATGGAGAATGCCACTAGGCCTCCCTAATTTTACTTCATACAGGTGTACCCTGTCAGGAAAATACCAGAACAGAATACCCCTGAAAAAGTAAAATTAAAAGAATTCACCGCAGGTATCTCTAAAATTGTAAACTCCCTATTAAAATCATTTTACTGATAATGCTTTTCAGGAATGTCATCCACCTCACAAAGTGAAGTGTGGTCAGTTACCCTCAACATTGTCATCACCCAAAGGAAAATGTAGTCTGAACACTGGGGAAAACTTCTTGCCAATTAACTTATCAGCATCTTGTAGAACCCACACCCATGAGACATTCTAACTATACATCCAGAAAGCCATAGTCCTTACTTCAAGGGGAGCTGCCATAGCTTCAGTGACAAGTTGGGTAGAAGGGAGATCAGGTTACCTGTTGGGCCACCTCAGTTCCTGATGTCATGAGAAATAGTATTAATTGTTTTACTTATGTTCCCAAAACTGTTTCTTTCTCTTATCCCAGGTGGCATCAACTTCATGTATATTTTGGGCCTGGAAACAATGGCTCCCATATTGCTGTAGTAAATTGAAGAAAAAAAGGCAATAGATTTGCTGCAGACGTTTATTGAATTATCTGTTTTTTACACCAACACAAACATATTTCACAGAAGACTGACTACTAGCCAAATATAGGGGGGTTTTCTTGGGGGGTGGGGTGGAGGAGACAAAAGTTTCCTGTAAGAATTACCCTAGAATTTTGCTGACTTGGAGAGCCTCCTGATTGACCTAAAACTTAGCTCCTTTAAAGTAAATTTGGGAGAAAAATATAACTTGGCAATAAGCTATCAGCCAAAAGCTACATTTTCCTGTGGACTGTCATTCTGTTTAAAATGATTATATAATTATATTTTGGCAATTTGTCCAAGATGCAACAATCCCATATAGAAATTAGGTGTTCAAGTGGCCAGGGGACTGTAGAACCTAGACAGGAATAGTACCTGACCCTGGCATTTCAATGTAAGTCAGACATTAATATCCTAGGGTCTAAGGGAAGAAAAGAAGAGCATCCTTCAAGGGAGGAGCCCACAGGCAACCCCCTGCTACAGTATTGGGGAGAGGAAAGACTTAACAACTGCCTGACCCGAGAAGTGACTCATTTATTTGGAAAGAAAGTATTCCTACCCACACCCCTGCCTATGGAAAAGATTATTTTTTAATGGAAATCTGAACGCAGAGGAGCACAGTCAGAATGAGCAGCCTCTCTTAAAAGAAACACTAGCTGTACTGCTGCTGGAGACAATTTCTTCATTAAATAAACTGCCCGAGTCCATCCACCTCAAAGACTGGTCAAGAGTAAAACACAAGCATCCACACATTGTGCTGTGTTGTTCAAATCACAAGCAAAAGGGGGGAAAAAAGGCTGGGGGGGTGAGGGGGAATTATTTGCCAAGTCCAAGACTGATGCTCTAATCATGTTATTTTTGGACTTGGGTCAAACAGTGACTCAGATTACAGCACAACACGCTTTCAGAGTGGAACATCAAATTTAAAACCTGGGGCTCACACACTTAAAAGACTAGTACAATTCTGACTTTGTCCCTACTGCTTCCAGATACCCCAGGTAGAATACAGAGAAGCAGAAGCCAAGCCAGCTCTAATACCATCTTGGCAGAAGCTTTGCTCACAGGGTGAATGAAGCAGTACCAGACCTCATGTTCTATAACAACTGAAGCCTTTCATTCAATATCAAGGGGTTTGGAACCCCAGTTTCCCTTTGCAAGGCAGTGTCAAACTTATTTGGCAAACAGCCAGCCTCTTCCTCCAGTGCCCAGGACTCCTAAGATCCAGGCCAGTGGAGAGGGAAAAGACCTCTACCACCTTCCAAAGCCAGATTGAGGCAGGCTGCAAGAAAACCTATCCTATATAGCATGTGAGTAAACAGTCCTAAAACTAGTACCCACACCCTATTATACCTGTCTTTTTTAAGGAGAAAAAGCTACACTGTAGGAGCTTAATGGTCCTGTGTAAAACCAAATACTTAATGACACCATTCCATCACCACAGCAGTGGGGGAGAGGAGCACAAAAAAGAACAAGAGTCACAAGGCCGTAACTTAGCCCTGAGAACATCACTCTGAGCACAAATATGTTTTCCATGTGATCTCAATTGTTTCCCACTGCCAAAGGCTGATGCTTTGTTTGGAACAGCTGAATGTTTAGTTTGACTTTGGTGTAAGCACGGAGAATGGCCTTTGGTGCCAATTTGTGAATACCTGAGGCCCCTGGTGCTTTTCCTCAGACTCCTGCCACCAGAATGTCCTTCTCAATGCTAGGCCCAGCATCCCTAACCAACCTCTATCTTAGCAATACAGAGCTCTACAGCTTCTCCTCAAGTCGGGCTTCCTAGCCAAGGAAATCAGAACCCAGAACCCCAGTTCCTTAACAGGGAACTTTTCTTGAAAATATGTGTTTACTTTAGAGCAGTGGTTCTCAAAGTGTGGTCCAGGGACCCCCGTGGTCCTTGAGACTCTTTCAGGGGATCTGTGAGGTCACATGTCATGAGGTATTTTCAGAATAGCAAGGCATTTTAATTTCTAATCCAGTAAATAACACAGTTATGACCCACATAAACAAAAGCTTTTTAGGGGGTCTTCAACCTTAAGAGAGTAATGGGGTCCTGAAGCCAAAAAGTTTTAGAACCATTGCTTTAAAGCCACCTTCAGAAGAGCTAATGGTACAACAGCTGTGCAAGTAATGACTTCAGGCATCACTTTCCTCACTTTCCTCATCTGTAAAATAATGGTGTTTCCCTTTCAGCTCCAAAAGACCTTGTTAATTGAGCACCTGAATGCTGAACCACCTTTTTGACCGGTAAGTCTCTAAGGATCCTTCACCCTCTCTCTGCAAGTCCCCTGCTCCTGGGCTGGCTCTGTTTGAGGGCAGGAAGAGCTGCACGAGGTGGACAAGCTACTAATTTTGCCAAGAGGCAAGGTATGGAGAAGGAAAGCAAAAGGACAAGAGGAAGTCTGGGAGAGACAAACTAAGCCTCCAGCAGCCAGGGTTAGACACTGAGTATCATTCAGACTATCCCCAGTATCAATCCTGGGGCACCTTTCCCTTAATATCCTGCTACTCCTCAGGAATAGCTGTGGTATTCTGTGATCTCTGAGAAGGACAGCAGGATGACCACGACAGGAAGGAGGGAATACAAAGACCTATTCCAACACCCACATGGAACTGAAGAGGTTCCTCAGCACACACCCACTACCCTCCTCCCATCATGGCAAGCTCCAGCCATCACTGAGAGCTGGGGCTGTCCCCTTCTGTCAGAGTCTTGAAGTCCATGGACAGCGCTTGCTCCTCAGCCCGGGGGGGCCGAACCCAGGCCTCTCTAGTCAGGATGTAGAGCACAACCACAGCAAAGCAGATCAGCAGCAGGCCCAAGATGTTGGCCAAGATGCCCTCAGGGTGGAACGTACTGTACTTGTTCCTGCAGGATAGAAGGAAGAAGGGATTGGTGATGTCACCACACACACACACACACACACACACACACACAGCCAAGATCACATTAATACTACAGGAATATCAAAACCAGTCATCCCAACCCAGCCACAACCCCAGTGGATCCAAGCTGCGGCGTTATCCAACTCTGCTGAGAAGGCTAAACCAACAGCAAAGGATGCTGCTTCCTAGGAAAGCTGAGGCTGTGAGAAACCTGCTCAGGACAGTGGGACCCTGCCCTTCTATATCAGTAGTCAAAGGTCACTCACATGAGCCCAAATAGCAGCGCCTCCTTGATACCCAGCAGGGTTGTGCCCACAGAAAGGAGGAAGATGGTGGCGCCAAAGAAGATATGCTGTGGGCGATATCGGTTTCGAAGGGAGAATGATGCTCCAGGGAACAGGAAGAAGCTGAAGCCCATTAGCCACTGGAAGAAATGTAGAGACAGTGCAAGAGTTAAACAAAGAAAGGAATTCCCTGCTTGCCTGCTGGGTCATTTGTGCTGCCTAGTTTGACACTGTTAAGACAATGCTAAGCCCATCATGGAAGACTGCAGACAACACGAATGGAAAGGAGTCGATGCCCCCAAATGCTCAAGGTTCACCTCAGTCACAATCACACTCCTAATTCCATAAAGCCCAAGCCTGGGACCAGCCATGAGCTGGGAAGGGGCCCAATAGCTGCAAGGCACCATCCCCCATCTCCTTCCCCACTCCCCAAATCAGTCTGATTTTGGGCTAATTCCAAACTCCTGGGGAACAATGCCTTCGGGGCCAACTGCAGCCGTTTACAGCACCGTTGGCTGTGCTAAACTGGAGCTCAGCCTACTCTGTAACCTGTCAGACTGGTGTTTTTACCATCTTTCATGCCCTCTCCAGTTAGCTGCTCTGAAATCCCTCCGGGGTTATCTGTGAGGCAGAGAGGCAGGAACAGCAGAGGGACTCACCTGCACTAAATAGAGGATGAAGACGAGGAGCCCACACCAACTGTGCAGACTATACAGATCAGCATAGCTCATCTTCTTGTGATACTCAAACACAGCCACAAGTCCTAGAAGTTGGAGGACATGAGAATACAAGGTTACGCATGTTTTTTAGGGGAACTTGGGGGAAAGGGGAAGAAGATGAGGGATGAGCTCACAGGATTTATTCCCAGTCCTGCTCCCACCTTTCCCAAATGTGTTAAGAGGAATAAGCAGCATCCTCGGAGTACTGGCACTAAGGTAAAAATTTGCTTCCAGGGTGGGTAGTGTGCCTAACTGCAGCTTAGAAAAGTGTCTGCCACCTCAGATCTAGAAACTAGAGGCGAGGAGAGGGTATGGACAGTCAGTCGTCATCCCCCAGAGGGAAAGAAACCATCAGGGGACTCACCGACCAAAGCGATGACAAGAGCAAAGATGTGCAGCAGCCCATGCAGAATCTTTGTGGTACGCTTGGCCTCATTCCTGAAGACCCGGTAAACTAGTAGAGCTTGTTTGGGACGAGAAAAGGGGCAAAGTATACCAATGAGTTTCCTGCTGCCCACCTTTCCACCACGTGCTGGCAGTTCTTTCCTCTCCCCTTACTCACCCACCTAATGAAACATTTGTGGGGCCTCCTGCCCAACAACTAAGCCCAGAACCTCCCTCAAACAGAAGAAGGGTGTCGGGTGACTTTGAGCACTTGTCATTTTCTCCCAGTAGAGTAGATAAAACCAACAGGTTATGACCAGACCCAAACCAGAAATCATTCAGAAATCTCTTTTGCTTTCAAATACAGGAATCTTCCAGTTGCTTACCTCTCTCATCCTTTCCTGTGCCCCTAATAGAAAAAAAAAAGGGAAAGGGCTGCTCCCCCCTTTCTCTTTCTCTTCAGATGTAGCAATGAGTCCTAACATCTACTTATCCTTTATAGACAACAGCCCCCCAAAAGGGATTAAAATAGCCTCTATTCCCTACATATGTATGTATACACACACACTCACACACACACACACACACCCCTTTAATCCCCAACTTAGCTGAACACTGATCATACCTGTTGATCTCCTTTGCCCACCAATGTGGCTATGAATGAGACAGTCCTTAATTTTATTAAGTTAGCACAGAAAATGATTCCATCCTTGGCCCCAGTCAGATAGTGCCTTTCACTGTTCTCACACATGCACCCCTAGATCCCATATTTTTCTAAATAAATCCTTTTATTTCTAAGTGAATACCCACCTGTGGCCCTGAGGAACTGTATTCAGGATCCATGAAGGAGGAGGGGAAGAAGGGTTAGGAAAAAACATCAATCTATAAGCATTTGTTAAGTGCTCACCACTCTGTTATGTACTACTAAGCTTACAGAGTCAAAAATAAAACAGTCCCCACTCTCAAGGACCTTACCATTCATCAGAGCATCAGGGCACCACACATATAAAGAAGGATATATTTATAAAATGCAAGGTAACTGGCAAGGGGGTGGGGAGGGGGCAGTCTAGCAGCTTAAGGAAGGAAGGCTTCATGTAGAAGAAAGTGGCTGAACTGAGTATTAAGGGAAACAAGGGATTCTAAGAGGCAGAGATAAGGAGGCTCAGGCTTGGAGCAGGGCCAGCAGAAAGGCACCACGATGAAAGATGGAGTGCTACATGTGAGGAACAAAGAGAAGGGCAATTCAGCTGAACCATCGTGTGCAGGAGGTACATAATTAGGCAGGACAGGTAGTTTGGGGCCAGGTTGTAAAGGGCTTTAAATGCCAAACAGAGGAGTTTCTATTTGATGCTATAGGCCACAGGGAACCAATGTAATTTATTGAGTAGAAGAGTAATATAATCAAACTCATGCTTTAGGAAATTCACTCTGACAGCTATGTAGAGAATGGATTGGAAAGGGGAGAGACCCGAGGAAGGGAAATCAATTAGACGTTTATTGCAATAGTCCAAGTGAGAATAGGAAGAGAGGAAAGCACAATCAGAGCAGGCTAAAGGCCTGAAAAAGCACTGAGGGGTGAAGGTAATGGAAGTTCCAGTGAGAGCAAAGAATAGGTTTAGGAGGGATGAGACACAGGGAGACAAAGAATAAGGGGAAGTCATGGCCAGAAAGAGTTTTTTACTAAGGAAGTAGGACACATGTATAATGGTGAGGTCCAGGGTGTGCCTGTCCCTGAGTATAGCTCTGGTGGATTGAAGGAGTAGGACATAGTATTTAAAGAGAGAAAATCAATTAGGAAGAAGACTTTTGAGAGTCCCTGGGTCAGTAAGGAGTTCAAATCAGTCAATACTTAAAAATATTAATTCAGGCTATTCACTAGAAGTCAAATACTGTAGCTGAAGCTTAAGTTCTTTGGCCACATAATGAGAAGATGGGACTCACTGGAAAAGACCCTAATGTTGAGAAAGATTGAAGGCAAAAGGATACAGGACAGCAAAGGATGAGAAGAATACAGAGCATCACGGAAACAACAAACATGAACTTGAACAGACTTGAGAGGCAGTGAAGGACAGAAGGGTGTGGCACGCTATGGCCCATGGGGTCACAAAGAGCTGGACTCCACTGAATCACAACAAAAAAGGATTATCTTGCTGAGGTGAAGGCCCATTTGAGATTAAATTAAATAAATTCTCCCTCCCCAACTTCAACCCTAAAGTAAACCAATTCTGCGCTGTCCTCTACTCGTGAATCCTTTGTCTTACTGCTGCTCACCAGTTGCCAAAGCCTAGTTCTTTCTAAGACTTTTATAATTTACCTCCTCACCAGCAGACCCAATTGGCTCCACTGGGTGATTCCCTACAGCTCAGTTCAGCAGCATTTGAGTAGGAGCGGAGGAGGTGGATGACAGAAATTGCACCGGGCTGGGATCCGTCAGGGAATAAGGATCAATATGGTGGTACAAAGGATTGGAGAGTAGGAATCAGTCTAGATGGGGAAGGGAGGGAAGTGAAGCTAGAGCAAGGCCTGAGAGAGCACTGGGGGATGGAAGAACTGGAAGTCCCGATAAGAACAAGATTTGGAAGGGATAAGGCAGAATAACAGAAGGTTATCATCTGATAAAGGGATTTTGGAGGTACCTAAAGTATTCCAAATTACCTGATCCCTTTAGAATTCAACTTATTATGACTCCTGTAAAATAGTGCCTGTGGCCAGGGGCAACTCTGAATTAATTTCCCAGGCCCCAGTGAAGAAAACTAGCTACTATCAGCTCTCATTTATCAAAGCAAACAGACTACAGCCTCATATGCAAGTGGGAGAGAGAATAAACACTGCAGTTTTCAACCCCACAGGGAAATAATTCTGTTTTGTTTCACCATCTTTTAGCTTTAAATGTCATTTCGAGAACCTACTCTACTTATGGGACCAGTTTCTCCAGAATGGTCCATTCTCCTTTTCTTTACCCCCAAATAAGTAAACTATTGAGGGAGACAGCCTCAATTTACAGCCGTCGTCCTACCAACCTTCCTACCGAACATATACCTTTACTGCTTATCTATGAAGGAGATTAAGGTACTACGGCACTCTTAGAAAGTAATTGTACCAATCCAAGTATAACATGCACACCTCCCCTTCCCACCTGAAGTCTGTACTAAGGGACAAAGCTTCCCCTCCTGATTCTGGTTTCTAATATTCCTAAGTCCCAAGCATCTGGGCTGTCCTAACTCTGACTTGAGCCTCCTACTTCAGCTCCTATAGCATATCTCTCTTGAGGTAATGAGGTCTCCCAGAGCTAACCCCCTTGCCGCTCCCCAAAACAGAAGGTATCTTCCCAAGAAATTCTCAGATATACCCAGAAACTATAGGCAGAAAGAGGATGGGTCCTCCCCAGGCTCACCCCCATGGAAATCAGTGGGTTATGTTACGACACCTCCCACTTCTCTTGACCCTGCCAGGACTCACCATCTCCCTGCAAGAAGACCATGCCTATGACCATGCAGAGTGGATGCACGTTGAACTGAAGGGCACTCTCCCAGGCAAGGCCACCACGGTAGAGGCCAAGCCACGCTCCGGTTATAGCCACCACAGTCAGGCCCAGAATCTGGGACAGAGCCACAAAGTAGGGCAGTGCTTTGGGAGTGGACACCATGCCTCCAGCAGCCTCCATCCCGGGGTTTACACTGCAACCAAAAGGAAAAGGACTCAAAAAGGCAGCCCACCACCTCGAGACAGATCCAATTCCCCAGCTTACCCACTACCACCTCCTCCCAGAGCCTCTATTCTCAAAGAAAGGTTCCCTATTCTTCTCAGCCACTTAAAGGAGTTCCTCAGCTCAAGAGCCAAAAGGGACCATAAAGATCATCTACTCCAACTCCCCTCATCTTACAGGTTGAGGAAACTGAGGCCCAGGGAGGTTAGATGGTTAGCCCAAGGGCATACAACAAATTATTGGCAGAACAAGGTTCAAAAGAAGGTCCTGAGTCTTTCCACTATTATCACATTGCCACTTCTGCCTCTGAGCTATTTCATACCTGGATGAAGGTGACTACCACGAACCCATCGAGAACTCTTATTCCTACAAGTATCATTCCCCCTGAAAGGCCAGTGTAATAGAAAGTACAATGTTTGGAGTGCAGAGACTAGAGTTCAAATTTGACCTCCACCACCTGCCCAGTTGCAACATACTTGCAATAAAAAGTAACACTCTCTCTGAGACTTACTTTTCTCAACTGGAAATGGAAATATGGAAATAAAAATAATCTTTCTCACAAGGCTGAGGTGAGGGAAGATACTTTGCAAACCTTAAAGTGCTACGTAAATGTATATTGTTATTATTACTCAGGTATAGATTGGACTAGATAACTTCTGAGGGTTTCTTCCAACTCTTAAAGATTTTATGACTGTACTGCCCTCATTTTACAGATTAGGAAACTGAGGTTCAGACTCCAAGATCACTAAGATAGTCAGGGGGAGAGGTGAGACATAAATAATAATAGCTAGTACTATATATATAGTACTATATATATATATACATACTTTAAGGTTTGCAGAGTTCTTTATATATATATTATCTCATTTGATCTTCATAATAATCCTGTAAGATAGATGTTATTATTATCCCCATTTTAAAGATGAGAAAACTGAGGAAGACAGGTTAAATGACTGCCAGGATCACACAGCTACAAAGTACCTGGGGCAAGATCTGACCTCAGGTCTTACTGACTCAAGTTCAGCACTATTCATTTCACCACCGAGCTATCTAAGCCTTCTCACTATCAACAAAGCATGAACAAGGACATCAGAGGGCCTTAAATGTCCAGAAAGTTTAGTCATTACATTACAGGTGATGCAGTATGGTAGTGAATGCTTTGGGTTTTGTTTGTATGTCAGTATAAACAGTTTATACTTCAATTCTTGGAAGGGAGAAACCACATTCCTAATTCACTGTTCCTATTTCTAATTCACTGTGCTAACCCATTTGGTTCTCCTCAAGTAAGGACACTGGTTTTTTGAAGCCCTACTGAAAAGGTATGTGTATGGGGTAGAAGTGGAAATGGGGATGTATTTTTACTCTCTGGGGAACTTGGGCACAAGGAAACCTGAAGAAAGCAAGAAACACAAGAAACCCAGTACTAACTCAGTCTGCCAACTTAATTTATGTTAAGCATCTCCTTAAAATTACAAACACTGGGTGTTTTAATTCACCCTGGGTGAATTAAGCTGAATTCACACCTTTATCAAAGCAAAGTCATTCAAACTAAGAGCTTTAGCTGAGGATGGTACATAAGAACTAGAGTAACAGAGAGGAATAAAATAGACCTTTCTACATGTATATGGGACTGAACCCTGCCAGAAGGTAGCTTGAAGGCAGTGGGTGTCTGGAGTGATAGAGAAGCACACAAAGGAAGGTGGATTAAGGCCACAAAAAGAAACTTTGCACTTTTGCCTAGGGTCCTGGCAATGCCACTATACCCTAAAAATTACTGCTATAAACCAGTGCCTGAGCGAAATTCAAAGGATGAGTTTGAAATGTTGCTAAACTTCAGCTTTCTCCAATTCAGCCTAATCCAGGAAAAAAAAACAAAAAACAAAAACAAAACCCTAGGCTGGCCTGGATTTCATATAAGAACCTGATTGGAGTTCACTCTTCCAATCCTAGCTGAGTGATCTTGGGCAAGTCACTGAGCCCAGGCTCCAATATAGCTTGTACTCTCTACCTCAAAGAACCGTTGTGATACTCAAATGAGAAGAGGTATAAGAGAGTGCTTTTGTCATTGCAAAGTTCTTTATAAATGTAAGATAATAGTATTTAAATTATCAGCTTCATCTTAGCCCTAATGACCCACTTAGAGCCTATCCTCCAGTTGGCCTTTTCTTTCTGTCAACTTAATAGGGTTAAAGTGAAGCCTCGGAATGGAACTGGAAAGTATGGAGTACCTGCAGTTTTTGCTTGTTTTGAATTGGATAGCCCGAGCTTTGTCACAAGTCAAAGCAGGCTCTTTACACCTTCTTGCGGTGACAGAGGATCTGAGCTGCATTTTTCTGCTTCATGCAGCATCTCAAACCAATCCTAACTATGAGGATTCTGGAGTAAGAATTGAGCAAGCATGTTTGTTGATGGCATCTGGCACAGAAAACAGCCTGCTTCGGCCGGTAGCAGTGTCTTCTCTAGTCATGACAATAACGAAACTGCATTTACATCAGAAGAGCCAAAAGTAAATAGGAATTAGGGCATGTGGACAAAGTGTCCTCAGAATGTTGATTTCTTGTCACCAAATCTTTGGTGCTCTCATTGCTTTAATTAGAGGTTTTCCAATGAAAGACTTGACCAAGACAAAGCTTTAAGGTTAATGTTATCTTTGAATCATAATCACAGCTAACTTTTTAAAAGTGGGCTTATTTTTTCATATAAACATTTCTCAGATCCTTGAGTCCATAACTTCAAACCTGCATCTTTATTTTTATCCTGTAGACTCCTAGATGTAATGTGCCGTTTTCTCACAAACAAGCTGAAGCGCTCTCTCTCTTCCCCTCCACCTCCAGGGCATTAGTAGTTGTTACATTCACAGATACGCACCTCAGCAGCCATCTACCCCAACCCACAACCAAAAAAGTAGCCCCACTATACCCAACATCATCCAGCCCAAGCTTCATGTCTTCCAATGAGGAGGAACCCACTACCTCTTGAGGCAAACCACTTAAGGATAGTTTGCATTGTTTCACATTTTATTCATTTCAGCTCTCATATGTTCAAGATATCTTCTTCTGTGATTATTTTAAATGTATGAGGTTGCAGCCAAGTTGTAGAGGGCTTTAAAAGACAAACAGCGACATTTACATTTTATCCTAAAAGCAACAGGAAGCCAGTGGGATTTTGAGTAAGGTAGTGAGACAGTCATATTTGCATTAAGAAAATCACTTTAGCAGCAGTAGGGAGTATGGATTGGAGTGGGAAGAAACTTAAAGCAAGAACACCAATTAAGAGGCAATCATTGCAACAGTCTAGTAGCACACATTCTTGCTGACCGGGTTTATTAAGTCAACTAGCACTTATTAAGTGTGTGCCAAGCACTGGGAATATAAAAAAGTTAAAAGACAATTCTTACTCTCAAGAAGTTCCCGCTCTAGTGTAGTAGATAACAGGCAAACAACTATATACAAACAAATTATCTTCAGGATAAACTGGAGATAATCAACAAAAGAAAGGCGCTAGCATTATGGAGGATAAAGAAAAGCTACTTGTAGAAGATGAGATTTTAGCTGGGATTCAGGAAAGCTAGGGCATCTAGGTAGTGTAGTGGGTAGAGCACTGGGCCTGGAGTCAGGAAGACACTTCCTAGCTGTGTTTGTGTGACCCTGGGCAAGTCACTTAACCCTATTTGCCTCAGTTTCCTCATCTGTAAAATGAGCTGGAGAAGGAAATGGAAAACCACTCCAGTATCTTTGCCAAGAAAACCCCAAATGGGGTCACAAAGAGTCATATATGACTGAACAACAACAGGGATACCAGGAGGTAGAGGAGGGAGAGAATTCCAGATATGAGGAAAAGGCAAAGAAAACGAACAGGAGGGTCTTATGTGAGGAATTAATCTGATTTTCTAGTTGGTTTTTTTTTTTAATTTAAAATTTAGTTCATTGATCCTTTTTTTTCTATTCTGTTAATGTAAATGTAGCCCTCTCCCCAAAGTGGGCTTGGCAGTCCCTTAGACAGCCCCATAATGCTGTGTATGGGTAAAGAAACATGACTGCTGATTAGCTAAGAAACTGCTGGGAAAGAAAATCAGGGAGAGAAGGGGGGTCGGGGGAGGAGGGAACATGAACTTCAAGGGTCAAACAAGATAGCTTCCATCGTTTTCCATTAGCTGGCCCGTGGAGTATTGTTTTTCACCAATTAGCAGTTGTCATCTCTCTACCCATACACGGCATTAAAGGGCTATGTCCTTCAAGGGACTTCTCTTTCACATAGTTGACTTTTTTCTCTGATATGTTTTGTGAGCCACTCATTATGCAGGACATCATTATTAAATTTCTGTTTAAGTTTGTATCTTTTGCTTGTATTCCCTGTATCCAATAATGTTTTACTGCATTATGTCCTACTGAGGGTGTATTTAATATTTTTTTCACATTTATTTATAATTTCTCTATGTCCAGGACATGACCCATGTCTGTGAAAGTATAGATGATACTGATAAATATGTATATTTTTAAAGGTTCACATTGAAAAGGTGCCATACATTGTATTTTTCTGTTATTTCCTTTACATTGATTTTTATCCTTTTCCTCTTCTAAGTCACTACTTTGTTCCTGTAATTCATTTTGCTTATAGTATTTTGATGGTATTTTCCACATGTTCTCCATCTCTCCATTCTATTCACCTCTCCTATCTCAAGTTCTTTAAGTTATTTTTTTTCTCTTTATTAGGTATTCCACATTCTTTTGATTCTTTCTTTTCCCTGTCCACCTAAATATATAGTTCAAAATTTATCCTTTCCTCCTCACCAACCTCTTGGCTTAAGTAACATTCTTCTGTAGTACCCTCTTCCAAGATGTATTCATGTATTTTGTCCTCATTCCTATCCCCTAATCTATTCTTTTTCTTTTTTCCCCACTTAACCAATTATATGTAAAAGAATGTTTTCAACATTCACTTTTATAAGATTTTGAGTTCCAAATTATTTTC